TATATATCAATATGATAAAAAAATACTTCTTGAAACGTTAGTTAATATCATATCGTTTGACTCTCAAAATGGAAACTATGACAACTAAAAATGTAAAACAGAGGGAGTAATTTTTTTAATTTTTAATTATGTATTTAATTTTTAAAATAAAATTATATATTTAAAAATATCATATAAAATAATATAAATTATAATAATTAATAATTTAAAATAGTTAAAAAAAGATTTAAAAAATTGTGATGATATAAAAACTTATTTGAATTTTATAAATTTGAAAGGTATGATATAAATAGTTGACCGAGCAAATAGTACCTTTTTGTTTTATCAACATTTGCAATTATTATTCTATAGTACCTTTTAAGTTTTATCAACATTTGGAATTATTATCCTCTTTGACTCTGTCAACATGAGAAAATGTGTTACTCCCTCCCATTCAGATTTATCTTTAATTAAAGACTAAGGTTTATTTACCCCCTTAATATTTTGGGAATTTCTTTTTGGAAAAATAGTAATTTCAATTCTTAAAATTATTGTCTTGTTGCGATTTTGGCCTTTGTATAATATGCCTTAGTATATTTAATCTTCAATTAATTAAAATATATTATTTCAGTCCTTAAAGCTAACGACTGTTAAATTTTTTTGATTAAAAATACAAAAATATATAACAGACTCTACACAGGAGAAGACTTTAAAGGCAAAAGAATGCAGTACCATATTGTTTAATACTTGTAACACTATAAATGGATAAAGATAATTGGGAGAATAGAACAATAATCCTACATCTACTCAATTATGTGTAGTTTATTGTTCTATTCCACACCAAATCGTACATATCATAAGCCTAATAATTTCGAAAATAACTTTCAATTTATAATATACTTTTCAGATCAAGAATAAAACATATATTCTATAATATTGTATATAAGTGATTAAATTTGATATAGCAATCCTATTTTTTGTGATTAGAAAATAATATATATCTCATCTCTTGTATTATGAAATAAAAACCTTATTTGAATTAACATTCTTAAAAACCTTAAATGTCATATCAATTATTACCTATATTTATATTGGAGATTATTACTTTTTGTTTAAAATATTTACCAATAAAATAGTTTACAAAAATAATTAGACTTTGCATATGTAAGTATAACATGTAAATAGTAAAATGCTTCACAAATATTTATTACTAATAATAATACAAAAACCGATATATCAAGACATTTTTAAAATTTGAGTTCTAAATAAAATAACTATACCATGAAGCTTAATGGTTCGAATTTTAAAAATCAAAAGAAAAAAAAAGATGTATAAATTTTAATAATAAATTGTCATTACCTAAAATTTGTTGTAAATAATTTGGTTACATGAATGATTATAACTTTTAGGTTTAATTTTCTTCTTTATGGCAATAATGTTGTAAAGAATTGGTTAAATTAATGGATGCTCATAAATTTTAGGCTTTAATTTCCTCCTTTTATGGGCAGTAATACCACACCTCCACTATCCCATAATCTTCCCCACCTTCTCAAGGTTTATTATCATGTTTATGACACTTTTTCTCTTATTCATTTACAATTAATTTTATAATACGTTATCAACACGAAGTCTTAAGATAGAACACCAATTTTTCTAAATTATGTACTCTATTTGCTTATATTAATTAATACGTTATCAACACGAAGTCTTAAGATAGAACACCAATTTTTCTAAATTATGTACTCTATTTGCTTATATGTTTAAGCAATTTTCTCCTGGACAAACTTTTCATGAAAGAAATAGTTTCAAAATATATTAAGTAAATTGTATATTTTGTATTTTTGTGTATAACTACAGTAATGGTGATGCCTTAAATTTATATTTTGTTTTTAACAAGTTTATATGCGTGATAAATTGTCTAAAATTTTCATTGATAATATTTTTTTAATTATTTGTAACTTGATTATTTTTGTGATAGATTTTATTATGTTGAATTTATGAAAGTTTGAGTTCATGGCACTTGATATTTTTGAAAAAAAATAATCTTGTAATTGGTACTCACCTAAACGCTAAAATCCTTGATGCAACAATTATCGAGGGTAATGTAGCATTGAGTCAGGACAAAGCGAATACTATGATTTTTCTTCGTCATCATTTGAATAAAAAATTGCTTGATTGTGAAAAATCCACTTGAATTATGTTCTAGTTTGAACGAAAGGTATGACCATCTTAAGGTATCAATATTGTCAAGGGCTTGTTATAAGTGGATTCACTTACAGTTACAAGATTTTTAAACTATATATGAATATAACTCTGATATATATAAAATTACTTTCCTATTAAAATTATGTAGGAAAGATATAGAAGATAAGGTATGTTGGCAAAGACTTGTTATTTTTCATGCCTCAAATTTGATATTACAACAATAATACCGTGAATAAAGATTTAAAAAATATTCTAAATTGATCTCATATTTTTTTGTGGCTGAGCAACATAATATTCTTTTGTTGAAAAATCATGAAATTGTTCTATTACTGAAAGCAAATGAGTTAGATGAAGGAGAATATGAATATCCTCGACCCTTAATTAGATTCATCGAATTGAGTCTTTACATTTATGTTCTGTGGCACTTCTAATTCACTTGGTTCAATTTATGTAACTGAAAACAATATTTATTTAAAGATTCTTTTTATTTTTTGGTATAATCTCCATAGATTTCTATGTAATTTATATTTTTTTTTAGAGACTTATTATTTTTTCGAAATGATAGTTTTGTTATAAATCTATTGAACTAAGTAGATTGTTCATTGAATTTCCATAAACTTATACTTATCATGTATGTGTATTCCTTAGGTGATATGAACTTTTTTGGGATAACAATGTATCTACTAATTTGACATTCAAAATGGTGACCTTTGGATTGATTTCTCAATCTATAAATAGAGATATCATTCACGATTGCAACACACATTACTTGAATATGCAGAAAAGTATTTTCCTTCATCTACATTTCTTATCTTCTTATCTTTATAGTTATATGTTCTGAGTTTGATTTTATAACAAGTTTAATGATATGTCATTTCAACTATAATAGAAGAGTCTTTAGAGGTATTTAGTTTTTTTTTTTTGAGAAAAATAGTAATAGGTGAGTGATATTAATACTTTAAAAAGATAAAAGTGATTTGTATAGATAATTTTCAAAACATGAATTACTATTTAGTAAAATAATGTTTAGTTTTCAAGTACCAAAAAATATTTCTAAGCATGTAATTTCTTCTTAATAAATTAATCTATTTTTTAAAATAAATAAAGAACAAAATTATAATTTTGATTAAATGAATTAAATAAGTTTTTTTTAAAATGAGGCTTTAATAATATGGCATGTCAACTAGGAGAGAATGACGCTTCTAAAGTGTTGAGTATATTTAGAGGATAATAGTTATAGTGGGTGATATTTTGGTTTTAAATGAAATAAAATTGATATTTGAAGGCAATTCTCTAAACTCGGATAGACAATTTAGGAATTAATTCTTAAAAAACTTGACTAAATACTAATTACTATTTTTTTAAAAATATTTTTCAAATTAATTAACCAAATACAAATTATTTCTCATCAAAACTGCTTTCCAAAACATTTATGAAAAATAATATTTTTTAAAAAATAAGTTGATCGACTTTCAAAAACTATATAGATTAAATAACAAAAATATAACATGATTTTCAAGAACTATAGAAAAAAAATAAAAGTTGATAATCAAATGGTAGAATAGACATTTAAGAAGTCAATTAGGAAAAAAATGGGGTATGCAAAAATCGAACAGATCGATGAATCGAATCAAAAAAAGTATTTTTGGTTTATTGTTATTGGGTTATTGGGTTAATGGCTTTATAAAAAAAGTTCCCGGGTTATCGGTTCAGTATGTTTTTTAATATTGAGTTATTTGGTAAATCGATAACCCATTAAGACTATAGTAATTTAGTATTTTTATCTCTACATAAATACTAATTATTAATCTCAATACCTTACTAATTATTGTCTTTGTCCTTTAGCCTTTAGTTCATGTCTTTGTTCTTTAGCCTTCAATTCACACTTCACATTGACTTTGAGTTTACAAATTCACATTATACAAAACCTAAAAACCTAAAGTAAAATCTTATTCCTCTTAATTTCTCTTTGTGCAACACTTGTAAAGTTCTTTTCATGTTTGTTATTATTATTTCTATTTTATGAGCATTTTGAAAGTTACATTATTATCTTATTGTGTCAAATTTATAAGAGAAGTCATATATTTTTTATAAGCATTTTCTTATTGGTTAAACCGAAAACTGAACTATTAAGGACCAAAACTGATAAACCGAAAATCAATAAAAATATCTTATTGATTTGGTTATTGATTTAGTGTATTTACAAACCGAATAATAATACATAAAATCAAATCGAACCGATCGATATACACCCCTAGTGATTATTTCTCAAAGTTGAAGGGAGAGTTTGAGTGTAAACGTTTTTCACCGTTTGAAAAACACTTTGGAGAAAAATATATTTATAAGTACTTTTAGAAAATTTAGTTAAATACTAATTGCTCTTCAAAAGTGTTTTTAAAATTTATTAAACAAATGCAAATTACTTCTTATCAAAAATACTTTATACAAATCAACCCTTTTTAAAAATAAACTAATTTTAGAAATTTACCCAAACAAAATATCAGTACTAATTATTGTTTCTAATATTTTTAAAATTTAATTAGTCAACACACAAATTATTTCTTATCAAAATTACTTTTTCAAAAAAGGTAAAAATAATTAAATAAATTGATCAACTTTATGATCCACAAATGATAGGGTACTATTGTAATTAATTAGTCATGCAAAGAAACCGCACAATCCATTTGTGTGAATAGAAAATTTTCAAACTTGATTCTCTTTTATTTATTTCCTTTTCCTAAATTTATCACTCTATATATAAATCCATACCCTTTTAGCCTTTAACCCAAAAGCTACCAAAGTCATAAAAATAAAAAATAAAAAATAAAAATCATGTCTCCTTCTTTTCTTTTTTTTCTTCTTTTTCTTTTAAAATTCAATTCCTTATCTTCTCATGCTTCTTCTCCTCCTCCTTCTGTGTATGACACTTTTGTCAATTGTCTCACAATAAACTCAGTTCCTCAATCAGAAATCTCGAAAATTGTCTACTCTCCAAACGATCCTTCGTTTAACTCCATTTTACAAGCCTATATCAGAAACGGCCGGTTTTTCAACTCCTCCACAACTTCCAAACCGGTTATAATTGTCACACCGACGGTGGAATCTCAGGTTGCCGGAGTTGTTATTTGTACCAAACAGACTAATTTACAGCTTAAAATCCGTAGCGGCGGCCATGATTATGAGGGCATTTCGTATATCTCTGATGTGCCTTTTATTATGCTTGATATGTTTAATTTACGATCAATTTCCATCGATACAAATGATAAAACGGCTTGGGTACAAACAGGTGCTATTTTAGGGGAGCTTTATTATAATATTTGGAAGAAAAGTGAAGTTCTCGGTTTTCCTGCGGGGGTTTGTCCGACTGTGGGTGTGGGTGGGCATGTTAGTGGTGGTGGTTATGGGAATATGCTTCGTAAGTTTGGGCTTACTGTTGATAATGTATTGGATGCTCGATTGGTCGATGTTAATGGTAGAATTTTGGATCGTAAATCCATGGGGGAAGATTTATTCTGGGCGATTAAAGGCGGTGGTGGTGCTAGTTTTGGTGTTATTCTAGCCTTTCAAATCCAACTCGTTACAGTACCACAAATCGTGACCTATTTCAGAGTTGAAAGGTTTATAGAAGATAATACTACCACCGACGCTGTTGTTCAATGGCAGAATGTTGCTAGCAAAATCGACAATGATCTGTACATGAGGCTACTTATACAGCCCATCACAGTGAAGGCGAAGGCCAAGGGTGCAAAGAGTACTAAATCGATACGAGCAACGTTCATCGCGTTGTTCCTGGGTGATTCCAGTAGATTAATGTCTCTTATAAGCAAAGAATTCCCTCTTTTGGGATTAACAAAGCAAGATTGTTTGGAAATGAGTTGGATTGATTCAGTACTACATTGGGCAAATTTCGACAGCACGACAAAACCAGAAGCCTTGTTGAACAGAAAAGGGGATCCATTAAATTACTTGAAAAGAAAATCCGATTACGTACAAACCTCAATTCCTAAGAATGGGTTGGAGTCAATTTTCGAGAAGATGATTTCTTTAGGAAAAGCAGGAATGGTATTCAATCCATACGGAGGAAGAATGGGTGAAATTGCAGAAGGAGAAACACCATTTCCTCACAGATCAGGTATACTTTTCAAGATTCAGTACTCAGTGAATTGGCATGAAGAAGGATTAACAGCGGAAAAAGATTACTTATCACAAATTAGAGATTTGTACAGTTTCATGACCCCATATGTTTCAAAGAACCCAAGACAAGCTTATTTGAATTACAGGGATCTTGATATTGGTATAAATGATCAAGGTCCACAGAGTTTAGAAAAAGGAAGAGTATATGGGACCAAGTATTTCAAAAATAATTTTGATAGGTTGGTGAAAGTGAAATCAATGGTGGATCCACAAAATTTCTTCAGAAATGAGCAGAGTATTCCTACTCTAAGGAAACAGAGGAAGATGTTCTAACCTCATTATTTTCTACTTTATTATGTTATCAGTATTTACTTAATCAAATATGTTGCCTAAATGTTTTCTTGTTACTTTTTATTTATTTAGCATTAGTACTAGCTCAATGTATGTGTTTTGTATTATTATAATTTATAGGTGTGTATTGCGTTAATTAATAATAAACACATAAAAAAATTATTATGTGTATGTTAAGTGATTAACTAGAATTTTTTTTTAAAAAAAATGTGATATTTTTAAGATAAAAAAGTGTATTTAAAAAGTAACATGATAATTCACTACAACACTAACAATTAAAGAGCAAAATATAAATATATTTAACTAAATTTTGTCATTGATATGATCAAAAGTCAAAATTATATCAGAAAAGTCAAAATTATGTTGGTACTGATATAGAAAAACACACTCTAAACAATAAAGTCAGAGAAAAACACACTACTTTATACATGAACATAATAATATAACACAAAAAAAGATTTTGATAAAATAGAAGAGGACAACCTAAAGTTGTTATGGAAGAAAACTTTTACATTATATGTACTATATATAGATTGATTGATATACTTACCTTTAATTTAAGGGAAAATGGTCAAAAATGCTCTTAAACTATGTGAAAGGAATAAAAATGCCCTCCGCTTATAGTTTGGCTCAAAAATGCTCTTACCATCAATATTTTGGTTCAAAAATGCCCTTGCAGTCAATACTTTGGTCCAGAAATACCCTTATAGTTACAAAATGGGTCAAAAATGTCATTTTACGAATAAATATATTATTTTTTCTTTTTAAACACATCTTCTTCCTAATTAATATATTATTTAAGAACACTATTCTTTGTTTTCTTTCTTCTAAAATCACTTTAACAAATAAAAAGGTATGAAATATGTTTTTTTCTTCTTAATCTCATTTTATCAATTAAAATAGAATAACTTCATGTACCCTTTCGACATATAATATATGTCATATATATAAGATCATCGTATATCCATCATTAATTTATATTTATATAACGATAAAAAATAATGATAATAAAATAAAAAATATTTTCAGTTTTATTTTTTTTCTAAATTGAAGTAAGATAAACATTTGCTAATTTAAAAAAAATATTATTAGAAAAAGAATGTGTTAATAATAATAATAATATATTTATTTAGAAAATGAGCATTTTGACCCATTAAATAACAATAAGGGTATTTTTTTTTTATCAAAGTATTGACAACATAGACATTTTGGACCAAACTACAAACGGGGGGCATTTTTGTTCCTTTCGCATAGTTCAAGGGCATTTTTGAACCAAAGTATTGACGGTAAGAGCATTTTTGAGCCAAAATATAAACGAATGACATTTTTGTTCCTTTCACATAAAAAAATATTAATGAAGAATACATTTTTAAAACAATTGAAAGAAAATAACAGCACAATAAAAAAGAAAAATATTATTATTTAGCTACATTTATATCATATATTTTATGATTTCTTAATTATTAATTCTCCTAATACATCTTACCGTATATTTATTCCTTGTCTTGTATTTTAAGATTTCTTAATTTTTAAAATATATTTTTCTCTTGCCATAGGTTTTAGAATTCTTTAATTATTAAATCTCATAATACCTCTTAGGCTCTTACCATATATTTTAGGGCTCTTTAATTTTTTAAAATATATTTTATTTTTACCATATATTTTAGAACTCCTTAATTTAAAAATATTATAAAGATAGTTGAATAATAATTTGAAAAAAACAGTAAATGACAATTTTTTCTATAATAGAGTCTTTTAATGAAGGATAAAAAGTTCAACACATTTTCAAAGATTCCATGCTTTTAAAGTAACTAGTTAAGTGCATATGTTTTGCATGTATGTATCACTTTAATTAATATGCTTTTAAAAACATGTTTTCTGACATGTTTAAGGTCACAAAATCAAAGGAATACATGTAATATAACTATAATTTAGGATCACAATTGAAAAGCATATTTTATTTTCTTTAACTCCGTCCTTGTCAAATTAGGCCTTCTATTTTAAACCGGTGGAATAATAAATATATATATAAAAAATAATTCGTGTTAATACTTAATTTATCAAGTATAAAACGTTTTTAAAATAACATAAATATTTTAAGATAACGCTGTAATCATTTAAAATTTATTTAAATATAAATTTATTAAAATGATTTGGACTAATATATTAATGAATTTAATATAATCCAAATCATTTTAATAAATTTATATTTAAATAAATTTTAAATGATTACAAACGCGTAGTTAAAATAAGATAACTCACCATCATACTAATTAAGAAGTAAGATTAAATATAGTGCACAAAATTACATCATTGAGATTAAAAATGAAAATTATGTTGATATTGATTAAGAGTTATCTTATTTATTATAGTGAGAAATTAGATACGAACAAAAGTCAATATTTTGTTGTGTATCAATATCAAAGTTAGAAATTATGTTGACAAAATTTCAATTAATTTAGAGTTACTTTCTACAGATTTAAATAAGAAAATATGTGCTCAATAGCATTTATGTACCAAACACATCAATAATGTTTTTTTTTCTCATTTAAGCATTTCTATTCAAATACGTAATTATTTAAAGTATTTTTTAAAAATCACTTTTTGAAGTTAATTCTGATAGGCTCTAAATATTATGACTTTTTTCAGCTTAAAAATAACTGAATAAGTTGAGACTTAATAATTATAACTCCAATTAATTTCAAATTCTATAATAGACATAATTATTATTTATTATTTTTCTCAAATAATTATCATTTAATTATTATACTTATACATAAGTAATTATAGAACGATTATAACTATGGCAAGTTGAAGACTCCTATTCGATGGTAATAAAATTATTTAAGGTAGTATTTTCTTTTTATACTAACTCATGTTAGTATTTGGAGTTTATCAATGTGGGCTAGCCCATCCCGTCCGGGCTATACCATACAGATTTTGAAATTTGACAGGATAAATCGGATTAATCTATTTTTTGTGGGCCAGAAAATAGTCAACCCCATTCATTATTACATGGGCTACGGATCATGTCGGGCCAATCTATTTTTAAGGAAAAATTACGCAGTTAAACAAACTTATACTACTTAATTACTCATTATAGCTATAGTTTGCTATAATTACCACTCACGACTAATATAAATCATTAATTACGTGGGTTGACTTCGAGTTTGTATAATTAGCCACGTTTGTATATGTATAATTCACCGCATTTGTATAATTCACAACTAACAATTATTTGTTTGATTTGTATTTGTATACGATGGTTTGTATTTGTATATGGTGATGATTTCCTTTGGTTTTTCAGTTTTGTCATCATGTACATTAAATCTTTTTGTGTATAACTTTTTAAAGTTTGTATAAACGTGTAGTTTTCAATTTTTTTTATAATATAATTTATATAATGTAATTTGTATAATATATTTTGTATAATTGTTTAAAGTTCATATGTTTATGTTTGTATCAATTCGTTATTTCGCGTTTTATTATATTTGTATAATTCCAGACTTTATATTACTCAATTATATAAAAATACGGTAATTATACAAACATACCTGTGAATTATACAAACGAGATGCGAATTATACAAATTATTGTCCTCTCTCCTCCCTCTCCCAATCTCTCTCACCAGAATATACAAATACATATGTATAATATATAATTATCTAACCGATATACATATACAATTCACTTCTCTCTCACTTTCTGCCCTCTCTTGCTCGCCTTTCTCCTCCCTCTCCCAGTCTCGCTCACCACTTTCCTCCCTATAACATGTAGCTACGAATCGTAATTAGCAAATTATAGCTATAGAGCGTAAGTAGGCTATTTTTGAGGGGCTATATGCAAAAGTTCCTCCTTTTTCTAAAAAAGTATATATTTTTTTAAAATGTTAACATAAAATAATCTTTATACTCCCTACGTCTCAATTTATATCAGTTAGTTTAACTTGACACGGAGTTTAAGAAATAAAGAAATACTTTTGAAACTTGTGGTCTAAAATAAGTTATAGATGTTTGTGTGTGAAATGAGTAAAATGAGCATTTTAAAGTTAAATTGTTACTCCCCCTGTTTAAAAAAGAATGTCTCCTTTCTTTTTTAGTCTGTTAAACAATAATGACCTCTTTCTTTTCTTGGTAAAATTTTAACTTCAGCTTTTCACGTGGCATGTTTAAGGCCACAAGATTAAATGACAATTTTGTACATTTGACATTAGTTTAATTTAGAACCATAAGATTCAAAAGTCTTTTTTATTTTCTTAAACACCGTGTCAAGTCAAACTAGACCACTCTTTTTAAAACGTAGGGAGTACTAAATATAGAAATGTGTCATTCTTTCTATGAATGACTAAAAAGGAAAATGAGTCATATAAATTGGGATAGAGGGAATAATACTTATTTTTTTTTGTATATATAATACAACTTCAAGTAAAACTATAATTAGCTAACTAGAAATACTAACCTAATTGTTTTCCTATGAAACACAAAAAACTATAATAATATTCCAACCATTAAAAGTGAAAAAATGATTCCTTAAAAAATCATGAAACTAATAGCGCATCAAACACTGACACATCATATTCATCAAGCACATATAAATTAGCTTGTGGCAAGGTTGTCTTAACATCTTCACTATAGTTTATTGGGAAAAAGAACAAATATACCCTCGAACTATCGTAAATGGTGTGCAGATACCCTCCGTCATACTTTGGGACATTGGTGTCCCTGCCGTCCAAAAACTAGAGCATATATGCCCTTCACTCTAACAGAAGACTAATAGGGACACGTGGCACAATTGTATCCATCGATATATGTCGGATCGGTGAATAAGATTATGACACGTGTATGTCTGTTAGTATAAAGAGTATATATGCTTTAGTTTTTGGACGGTAGGGGCACCAATGTCCCAAAAGTATGACGGAGGGTATTTGCATACCATTTACGATAGTTCGGGGGTATATTTATCCTTTTTCCTAGTTTATAACAAACATTAGAATTCCTTTTTTCCAAATTTCATTTCACTTCCAGAAAGTTTTCAGAAGAAGTCTGATACCAGGGGAAATGGTGATTATCAAATTGATTATAAACCAGCTCCTCGAATCTCAAAAGCAGATAAGACTAATTATCAACGGTCATTACATCTAGCATCAGAGATGAGACTCTATCTTCTTTCCCATGGTACCACACAAGGTAGTGGAAAGCCTGTCTGGCATTTCCCTGAAAAAAGTTGATGAGTCTGAAGTGAATTTGCGCAAGTGTGCTGAGTCTACCCTAGAATCTTTCATTGGAGATCTTTGACATACATATTTTGTTGGAAACTCCCCTATGGGTCATATGGTCATGCAACCCACTGAAGACAAGAAAATCCCGTCAATCAAGCGCTTCTTCTTCAAAACACAAGTTATTGCAGCTAACAGATTTAACATTAGAAAATGTGATGATTTTTTCTGGGTGACCAACAATACCTGAACAAGATGATCAACATCTGATGTTATTTTCTGCTCAAACTTCAAGATTAGTAGGATAGCGGAAATAGTTTTGATCCCAAAAATCTATTTCTTTTCGGAAATGTAATGACTTGGACTGCTGGAGACCGATTTCATGTCTCGACAGTCTGACTGCAATTTGCCAGTGTGCTATTCATCAAGTTTTGCAGAATTTTGTACATAAGATACCTAAATTATGATGTCCTTCGGCCTCAGCTATCACCATTCCTCTTTGTGAGAAGTTATGCTCATAATTTTGAACTATTCATGCAGTTCAGTATGAATATGCTTGTAGATGCATGATTTCATCTGGTGTCATGAAATAAACAAAACAAATTACATGTTGCAGACTTGATCTATTTTTGTGCTTTATAACATAGCTGCGTTGTGCATAAAAAGAAACATTAGAATTTAAGAATGGTGAAAACTAGAGTAAAAGAGTCAGCAAGACAAGAGCAAAACTGGAAATCACATAGCTACTTGCAGATTACCTGACTAATGGTATATTGAGCATCATGGTGGTCAGTACTATTTACAGAATAACAACCCTTTAAATCCAATCAAAAGTTATAGCACATATAATACAAGTTGTGTGAGATCAAAGAGGAGAGAAAATTAAATGACTCAGGCAGCTACAATAGTAAATCATTCTGTTTCTTTCTAGCGAGATGTCACATGCTTGATGTTCCTACTTAACAATCATTAATCAGCTACATATAAGGTATTATGATAAACCAAATGACTAAGATACAGAGAAACTATTGTATTCCTATATTACCTAGGAAACTTCCATGACTTCAACTAAAATATGCAATAGAATACAGAGAAAAATAGAGAACAGTTGAAACAAAATTCATCTAGATCAAACCACCAATTGCAGAACATATAAGCTTGTGTTCTTTGACGTAGAATCAAAACACACACTTTACATTACTTTAGACTATAGTTTGGCTTAAACCGCATATGATAATCTTTATTTTCAAGAATTGTAGTACAACATAAGTGGTACAGGACATTGAAGATTAAGAAGCCATAGACTGAAAAAATTATTGCCATGGATCGATGTGAGCAGAGAAAATTACACAATGCAAATTTCATTTTTTCCTTCCAAAAGAAAAATAAAATAAGAAGTAAGAAAAGTATTTTGAATCAGAGTACTCCTAAACAGTTGTGTTTACCAGAACACACAAAAGATTGATCAAAGGTACTTCAATCAAGTTTTAGGATAACATATCATCTAATACCTTAAATTTTTGTATTTAAAAAAAAAAAAAGAACTTGCGCAACAGATAACATTGTTATTGTAGAATGTATGGAAAAAAGACCTCTTTGTCTTACTTTATCTATATTTTGTGACTATAGCATTGAAGGTTGTATCCCTCCACCTGTTGAGTTGATTGAATTTGTTTTTTCAGAGGTGCAGAGAGCAGCTGTAGAATGCTTACAAACATTAAAATTTAAGAATGGTGAAAACTAGAGTAAAAGGGTCAGCAAAACAAGAGCAAAACTTGGCATCATATATCTAATTGCAGATTACCTGTAAAGCCACAAGAGCAAAACTGGGAGCCTGTCATGCTATGAAACTCCAGTTTTCGTACAGTTCTTAGCCAGAGATGGTATGCAAAGACTACTCTCCACAACCAACTAATTATCAATTCCCCATTTAATGTGCCAACAACTTTTACATTAAAATGCATACTATCAGTAAAGGGAAATCGCCTAACACCCATACCATCAAGAATGATTGTCTCACTACGTTGACTCCAATAGTATTGATCTTCCAAATCCCAGAATTTCATATTTACTATGTCTTCAACATGACAAGTTATCGCGCAGAATGACACCAAACCTTCCGTTTCTAAGATATGCTTCCGAGCATATTTTTCTTTTAAAATCTGGCTATCACATCTCTCTACTGGATGTGATACCACATGAAAATTTTCCTTTTTTATGTCAAATACAATCACATACACTCCACAACACGTTACAGGTGGATTATCTCCATCATTTGCAGGATGCTTTTCATCAACCATCCAATAAATAGCATCTATTTTCACCATAGGAGAAGGGGAAAGTTAAGATTGTTCTATTATCTATTGCTCTAGTGATTGATCTATTATTTATTGCACTAGTGATCGTTCTGTTTTTAGTTATTCTGCCTAAATAAGTATAACCAGAAAGTTAAGATGAAAAGAAAACTTGGTTCTGAACTTGTGACAGTTAACAATCTCTAGGAAACATGAAGAAGGGTATTATGTAATACCATCTTTTGTGTGTTTCAATATTGTCTTATCCATAGGTTATTTGCACAAGTAGACAACGTTGGTTCACATGAATGCGCACACTGAAGTAGTTTATGTTGATCCCTTGGCCTTTGCAAAAACATCAGATGAATAGTGCATGTCCAGACACTTAAAAAAAAATCAAGCACCATCTAGTAATAGAAGTGTATGACCTGCAACTGGGTAAAATATATGTGTATGACCTACAACGGGGTAAAATAGAAGTTCTCTTTCATCCTTCCAGAATCAAGTTATAAAAACATAATTGTACTTTAGACATCAGTGACTCTACTTGCTGGAACATTTCATCTTGCACAATCAATGAGCTATCACAACATTAAAAGTTTCAACTTTGATCTAATGGGGTGTCATTTGTTCATATATTTAGGAATGTTTTTTCCAAATGGATTAGTTCTAATATATCCATAAAACAACTATCATTACTGCTAATGTGGTCACTCTTCTACGTAGATGTGCATCTCTTTTTTGTTAATTTTCATATCTATCATCTGCATATGTATGTCTATGTGTGAAAATTAAGCACACAAAATTCATTCTAACATTGGGCCCGTAAACTAGTAAAGGCAAAACAGAAACAACATACTGCTAATAGGCATGACATGAAAATCTACATTCTCATGGACGATTTCAATCCGAATCAGCTTATCAGTTTAAGGAAAAACAGAAATTATCACGCTTAATTAATCACTATAGCCCACGACAAAGAATCAACTAATGGGTGTAATACTACTACAATCTGGAATCCCAAAAATCAACAACACAAAAAAATAAAAATCCATCCCACGCCATAAGCCCAGATGCAACAAATTCAGACTTTTAAAGGTAGTTATACCTGATAAACTCTATTCCCACAAAACCCTTTCGATGTGATGAAGCTTTAGGATATAATCTTCATTGCTATGTCCCTGGTGAACAACGACAAAAGTGTAAGGAGTTTTTATATGTCAGCGACAAAGAAAGACAAAATTGTGAATGGAGCTAAATGAGCTTCGATTTGAAATTTTCGTATCTCAAAAGATAGTGAAAAATCAGAGAAGTATTTTGAATCAGAAAAAATCGTGAATGGAACTAAGTGTTTTGTGAAAAATCACTAATTTGTGTGTTGATTCAACAAATACCTGTTAATTTGGGGGGGAATCCATTTTTACAAAGCCTTGAAAACTTTCAGATCTAGGGCAACCAGAATCTCTTTCAGAGACTTGGAGTGTTTTTTTTTTGTTTATTAATTTTCATTTTGGCCAAATAAAAATGGGAGGGAGAGTTAAATTTGTTGGAGGGAATATAATATTTTAGTGAAAACTATAAGGCCACACTTGACAAGTGTTGTTTTTATAATTATAAAAACAACACACTTTAAAAGTGTAGTCATATATATATAAATAGGTGTGACTAATTATATCATGATTTGACAACGCTTATAAAGTGTAGCATATACTACTAAAGAGCACGCTTTATAAGTGTTGTCAATATTGCCGTGGTCAAAAGCTAAAAACAAAGGCTACACTTTTAAAGTGTAGCCTTAAAAGGTTTAGGCAACACTTTACAAGCGTTGTCTTGATTTAGTGTGGCTTTAGGCCTAAAATGTTGTAGTGGGCGGATCTAGGATTTGGAGGTCGTGGGTGTCACATTGTTCAAGTAAGATAAGCGGGTTGGTTGCTTTAATATTGGGTTATAATCGAGTAATTTTTTTTTTTCGATTTTTATAAGCAAATCGATCAAACATGCATGTTAGTAATGTTTTCTTTTATATATTAAGAGATTAGAGCTAACTAAACAATTCAATTTTTCTTTCTTTTTAGGAATTAGTGGCCTTATTTGTTGAAACTTTGAGGAAAAAAAAGATTTTTTCACACTAAAATTTGAGTTTGTATAAACTATCTAATAGTGTTAACTTAATATATTCATATTTCATTGACTTTATGTGTTGTTGCAAATATATAACAAAGAGAATACAAATTTTAGTTTCAATCTAGTCATCTTACTTAGCAAGAATGTTGGTGAAGATCAAAAGAACCTCCAAATTAAAAGAACTCTAATAATAATATTCATTATTTTTTAAACTTATATTTTTTTAAAACTACTATTTAAATATATTCTTAATAATATATATGTCACGTTCATAATTCAGTACTTATTAATTGATAAAGAATAAGCACGCGACACTCATATCAAGAGATTAATAATTAGTGAAAGAGAAAGTAAAAGAACTTAAGAATTAATTATGGTGAATAGGAGTCAATTTGAATTAATAAAGAATACTAGTAAATAAATAAAAATGAATGGAAGGAAAAAAATACCTTCACACATTAATAAAAATGACAAAAAAGAAAAGAAAAAAAAAGAAAAGAAAAAGTTTCCAAAAATAATGCTGCCAACGAGGTTCGAACAGACGCTGCCCGTGTGGCAAATTACCTGCTTTGCCAATTGAACTGTTCACCATATTGTTTAGTGGGTGGCAAAGAAAATATATATTAATTTTCTTATATATATATATATATATATACATAGTTTTTTTCGAGATCAATGGGTGCCGTGGCACCCCCACGGGTACCCATAGATCCGCACCTGTCTGCTGATGTATCAGAAAGTCCAGTAATGTATCCGAAATTCATAAATTTTAAGAATTTTTTGTAATTTGGAAGAGAGTAGGAAAATAATATAACACTATACGATTAAGGTTATATATATATATATATATATATATATATATATATATATATATATATATATATATATATATATATATATATATATATATATATATATTATTCTTGTAATGAACTATACAATCACTCTAGAATTTTATTTTTGGTTGCCAAAACAACAACATATATGTCAAACTCCGTAGGATTGAGTTTATTTTGGGATTAACCTCTTTTTTTTTCCGTTTCATTTGGACCTTTTTTTTGGCTCTTGTGGTTGGATTCATTTATTTGTATTATTTGTGGTCATTTTGGCCACCTTTGGATTAAAAAAAAAAATCATCTAAATCTATACAATTATATCAATTGACTTGAAAAATATAATATTGAACCCAAATGCCAACTTGCCATGGACATATTTTTTTTCAAACCATATATAACATCAAAGTTACTTCTGAAAATAAAAAATATAACAATTTTCTTCTTTTACAATTATTTAGTTCCCACCTATATTTGTCAAGTAAAAATCTGCTCCCGTTTTACCAATTATTCAACCCGAAAATAATTAAGATTTAATCTCTATAATTTAAATTAATTTTAAAGTTTTAATATCAAAATAATAATTATTTGAGAAAAAATAATATAAATGATAATTTTGTCTATTGTATAGTCTTTTAATGAAGAAAAAAAAATTTCATTCAACATTTCTAATGACCTTCACACTTTTAATATAACTAGGAAACTTGACCGCGCTTTGTGCGGTTATTAAGAAGTCAATATTTTCTTTCCTATCAATTATATTCATTCTAATGAAAATTGTTTTCAAACGATGAAATAAAATAAACCATAACAAATTTAACATCTATTAAATAAAAAAATATATTCTTTATCAATAAATTAAAATATATTTTCCTAATAACAATTTTATTTGATTTTTATTGCGCATTCAATGAAGTTGAACCATAAATCAACAAGTGGAACTAATATTTTAAAAAAGGAATAAGGCACAAGTACCCCTAAACTATGATCGAAATCCTAGAGACACACCTTAACCAAACTAAGGTCCTCTTACCCCCAAACTCATTTGCTTTATAATTTTATACACCTTTTGGCTTACGTGACACACTCCGTGACTTCACGTAGTTGAGGTGCGTGGGAGATGTTTGAATGTCATATAAGCCAAAAAGGTGTACAAAATTACAAAAAAAGATGGGTGGGGGGGGGGGGGGATTAATAAGACCTTAGTTTAGTTAAGGTGTTTCTTTGAGATTTTGGTCATAGTCTAGGGGGAGGGGGGCATTTGTGCCTTATCCCTTTAAAACGTGTTTAACAATGACATAATAATACCTTGATAGAAATTTGTTACTCTAAAAATATTATGGGACTTGATTTTTGTAAACCCGCGTCCTCTCGATACTAAATAGTCCTCCCAAAACAACATATATTCATATAATGCGCATAGGTGTGAAAACCACTTATCATCTTGAATCATATATGAGGCTCAACTCAAAAGTCATATCTTAAAATAACCTATATTTAGGTGTAATTCATATCATGCTCATAGGTATGAAAATCGCTTATCATCTTGAATCATTATGAGGCTAAGCTCAAATGTCATATCTTAAAATAATATGTATTTAGGTTGTTATTCATATCATGCTTGTTTTCATTCTTAAAACCCATAAGAGTTTGAATGACCATAAAAATCATGTTAAATCATTACCATGGGGTTTTAAAACCAAAGTGAAACAATGAAAACATAACTTATTGAAGAAAGATCATAATTTCATAAAAGCCTTAGCTTTACTTCTAACAATCTTGTGAAATCATTGAGAATCAAAATACTTTAGGCATGAGAGCAAAATAAATACTCTCATCGAAGCCTTATATGTCTGAGAAGATGAGACTTAGAAGGAAGAACCCACTTTGGTGCCTTAGAATTTTATAGCTTGAACTTGGGAAATCCTTCTATATATGGTTTTCTTGGAGATGAAGTGTGAAGACGAATTTTGGATTGATAACCTTAGGATTCTTGACGAGAATCTTGAACTTTGAGCCTTAGATCTTGCGAAATTGAAGAAATCTTTTTCTTGGAGTTCTTGATCTTTGGAAGAAGGAGAATTGGAGATTTTGAGAGTTTCTATATGTATAATGTTGTCATTAGGTTGTAAGATGGACTTAGGGAAGTTGATTGAGAGTAAAAAGATCAAGAATACCTTTCTGGAAACGTAAGAAGACCATAAAAGTAGAAGGAGAACAAATTGATGATCTGAAAGTCTCATTGCCAAAAATACTCGATAGATCGCTAAAAGAGGCTTTAGATCGCCAAAATATTCAGAGATCAGGACACATTTTGTGATGCAATTCGGTGATTCACCAAACCATTCGGTGAGTCACCGAATGGGTAGGTTTCCTGGACATGTCTCAATAAAACAACCATTACTTCTTACTTTGATCTTAAAATGATGTAAATTTGGTAGTGTTGGAAATAAGACTCATAAACCATAAATTTTGATAGCTGATGGGCCACCTAATTCATTATATGCTGAGAGATATAATTGTTTGAAGTTGACCATCGCATAAACTAATGCAAAAACTTAGTCGATAATAATGCTTTGAACTTGGCTTGGTGTTTGAGGTACCTTACGAACCTAATACACATCCTATACACATACTACACTTAGTAAATGGCTTTAAGATATATGTACAACTTAGAAATCATCGAGTTCGGGCCTATACACATATGGAGGATGGTACGAATCTTTGCCTAGAAGTTGCGGGACGTTACAAATTTACGAACAAATACTAATTCTAAGTCCGTGCAAAACAATTTCCAAAAAAATGTGAGAAAATAAATTAGTAAAACGAATCAAAATTAGCAAGGAACACATTTTCAAAATAAAAAGAATTGAAACATAATGATAACAATTTTTTAAAAAATGATCAATAAACTCTTTTAAATATGTTCTTTTTAAAAAAACTTATAAGAACCTTGTTATCTACATTAAAACATCAACAACACTTTTCCATACAATTAATCCAAGATAAATTATCAAATTCACCGACACCATAAAATAGCCTTCAATTAATTAAACACAACCAATATATATATATATATATATATATATATATTTGTTATGAATAATGGTATCTTGTTAAGTTTTTAAACTTGGAAGTTGCCTTAACAATTAATGCAACTAGGGGTGCGCATCGGTCGGTTCGGTTCGGTTTTAGGTGTTATTGGTTCGGTTTATCGGTTTTCGGTTTGTAAATACATCAAACCGATAACCAAACCAATAACATATTTCTTATCGGTTTTTGGTTAATCGGTTTATGGTACTTAACGGTTCGGTTTTCGGTTTAACCAATAAGAAAATACTCATATATATTATATACACGATAAGAAAATTTTCAAATAAACCATATGATCTTTCCAGCATTTGGCATGAAAGTAATAATCATAAAAGTAACAATCATTTTTCTTGCAAGTTTAGACACTAGACACATTCAAAGGAAAAAATGTGAAAGTAACAATCGTTTAACCATTAACAAAAAGTGTGAAAGTAACAATCGTTTAACCATTAACAATAAGACTAGTAAATTTAGTATAGTCTTATTGGGTTATCGGTT